AAAACCGCGTAAAGTGAACAACAGAACATATGGGATTAATTCCAATAGAGACAGGCCCGACCCCCAAACTCCACTTTTTCCGACACAATACCTATGTTGTAGTGAAAATAACATCTAAATTTTATGATGGTATGCTCACAATTAATATTTAAGAGAAATACAGTCGCCAGGTTAATGTCCATTCAAATAATGGACTCACCCCCTCTTCCCAGCTCACTGGCCCTTACCTCTGCTAGAAACGATTGGGTGAAACACGTTAGTAATAAATAATACCTCAGACTAAAGTTAGGATAATATACAGGTCCCTCGTTAACTTAACTCAATCCGTTCAGGTCGTTCGTTAACCTAAACGTTCGTTAACCAAACCATTGTTTCAATGGGTTTTGGGTATTGGTTCCAGCTCACCTAAAAATTTCCTAACTTCAACAAAATGGCGAAAAATTTTACTACTTTGAGGTGTATGTAGAAGGCTCCTGGATGATGGTGACAGGATGCATTTGAAGTGGAGGAGAAGGGAGAAGAGAAGAAGTGGAGGTGGAGGAGAAGCATTTTAATGTTTCTGAAGGTGAGTCACCTTCCATGGAAAAAACAAGTCGTAAAACCTCTGGACTGGCTAAGATTCTCCAATTTCATGAACATCTCTCCTTCTTGAAGTGGAAGGCCAGGCTAGCATATCTTGTTCTCTGCCTTTTACTGAAGAAAGTGTCACTGTGGTTCAGGGGCATCTGTCCTCCCTTACCATTAACTTATGTTTAAAGAAGGAGAATCACTGAGTCCTCAACATGACACAAAGTTAGTTCAGTTTTTTCCACTTCTGGTGCTTTTCAGCTGCCCTGAACTTCCCAGTGGTAAATCACATCTTTCAACTGGGTTTAGCTTTGACATATGGTCATCACTTTCACCTCTCCCCCACCACTGTCAGCCCCACCGTAATATCTCATCCAGTTCCTTCCAAGTCATTAGGGAGTAAGTCTCCTCATGAGATATCACAAGCTCTCCACACTCTTCTCTCCACTTCAAGACCCACTGACTGACCAATGGACACAATCTCCTTGGTCCAACTCTGAAACATTCCCTAAATCCCCAAATCATGGACTACTGATGGCCACAGTGCTTTTGCATGAAGAATTGAGGGTTCTATTGAGATTTCTGCCATGATGATTATTATCAATTTTATGTTTCCAGGACGCGAATTGTGTCTTCCAGAACTGTTTCAGTGTTAGTTCAGGATCAATGGAAGTTGCCTGATGACACCTCCTAAACATTTTCTCATGTACAACTTTGAAGTTATGATCACATTTCTGGTCCATTGGCTGTATGAGGATGTAGTGTTTGAGGCAAAACAACACCTCTTCACAAAGTCAAATTTTATACTCCAAATTTCTAAAAGGTCAGGGCTCATGACCCAGGAGCATTATCCATGAGGAGAAGAGCCTTGAAGGAAGTTTATTGGTGGTTAGGCAGTTCTGACAGAGGGGCAAACACAACAACAGCCCATTCATTAAAGAACTGTTCTGTTCACCCATGCCTTACGGGTTGGACTTCAATAAACTCCAAGTATTTACCTACCACTTTCTGCTGCTTGAACACCCTGGGTTTCAGGAGTGTAGATACATAGGCTTCCTAGCCTGAAATCCCCGAAGCTGGCACCAAGCAATAGAGTGAGACTGTTCATGGGCTTATGCCCAGGTAAAGAGACTTCATCCTTGGTGATGAATGCTCCTTTGGGCATCTTTTTCCAGAACAAGCTCCAGTTTCAATAACAACATTGAACACTTGCTGTGGAAGATAATTTTCTCCATCAGTTTTTAAATTCACTAAAACTTTGTTGCCCCTTCTTTATCAAAGCACTAGCAGCTTCACCGCGGCCTAACAACACTTAAACAAACAATTTCTTTCTTTTAAATTTTCAACCAGCCTTGCTAGTCCAAAAATCTTCAAATTTGGTTCCTGAAGAACCAGGTTGATCTTGTCTTTAAATGTTCATAAATCTCCCTGGCTCTTTTCACAAATGAAATCAACGAAACCGAATTTTCATCTGTTTTTCCCTAATCCGATGAGATAAGGTCCTCAGTTTCTACGATTAGGGATCTACTTTAAACACTCTTGTAGATTTGTCTCTCAATGCTCACTCTTTAAATTTGTCTTTTAGGCAAGAATTGCTCTATTACAGTTGATGTGCCGATATGCCATATTTTGGTGACATGATTATTTAATAATTTTGTTCTCGTGTTTTTATTATTTCCTGCTTTATTTGGATTGAAATCACTTTTCTTGATCTCTAGGCCCCATGCTGGATTCAAACAATGGCAACATCGTATTTTTCAAAGTTAAACTAGCTGTAAATAAAGAATATTTTCTTTAAAGTAACACTGCATCTGCACTATATATATATTGTCAATATGTAAAAATAATTTCAAAATGACCAATAATTTGCTTGGAAACACAGAAAAAGCGCTTATTGAAGAGAGTCTCAAGCAAGATGTTACTCCAGTGAAAACAGAGAGACTGACGCCTGTTTGCTGTGTTAAGAGGCTGGATAAGATTAAACTAGTCACTTAATTTAATTATGTTCAATAATTAAATGACTAAAATTGGAATATCCTTTAAAATTATTGAATAGTATAAACTTCTTTGATATTTACAAAACAGTAAGGAATTTAAGCCTAGAACCGATTACCGTATTGGCGGACTGATACTAAAGCTGGCTGTCTGTCAGTGCAAGCGCCAAAACATGTTGAGGTCGGTTCGTAAGAAGTTCGTTAAGCTTAAATTTTTTCGTTAAACTAATTGAAGATCCTGTAAAGGCAGTTCGTTAATCAAATTTCACGCTAACCGAAAAGCCTGCAACGAGGGGTCACTTTAATTGGACATTTCTGGATTCCTTTGCAGGTCAGGGGAAGGCTTCGTGTAAACTCTATATATTTTGCACAAAAGATAAAATACTTGCTTTGTGTAAACCAAATTATTACATTAGATCTAAATTTGTATGTCTAATGCAAAAATCCATGATGTTTAGGTCTAAAATGATCATCATATTGTAAGAATTCAGCACAAATTATATTCTGGCCAGGTAATTTGTATGAATTTTATGAGCTAAACAAATATTCAGTTAATAAAAGAAAGTATTATTTTCACCACACTATCTGTCAATCAAAGTACCCCAACTGCCTCTTCCAACTGCTGCCAGATGGTCGGGTCGTCCCAACCCCCCACTCCCCCCCCCACCTTCCCACCCTACCAGAGAAATGTTGGTGAAAACTAATTTAACTTTAGTAATAAATAATACCTCCAGACTAAGTTAGGATAATATAATTACATGCTGATTCCTTGTAAGAATTAGGAATATTTTGAATATAAATGTTATATATTTTGCATAAAAGATAACATATTTACTCCAGAGTAAACATTAGATCTAAAATTGTATGTCTAATGCAAATCAGTTTTTATATTCAAAATGATCATCAAATTGTAAGAATTGCAGCAATGTAAATTATATTCTTGAGGTAATTTGGTATGAATTTTATGAGTCTAAATAAATAATAATTATCCTTCACGCATATATGAGTAGATGCACATTGAGTGAAAGTCCGGTTCTGGCAAGGTACTACGTAAATGAGAAAACCGGGAAAGTGAAACCGTAAAAGCGGGTAATATCTGTAATAATAATTATTCATAGTAAATAAAAATTTAATAAAATACACAAAAATAAAATAAGAATGATAACAATAATAATAATAATAACAATAATACTGTAATAATAATAATAATAATAATAATAATAATAATAAAGAAATACAAGAATGGAAAAAGATCAAATGAGAAACAACTATCCTAGACCTATGAATTATTATTGTTATTATAATTTTTATTATATTTTTGCCACCAGGCCCCACTGTGGGTCAGTGACTTGTGCCCGGTAGGCTAATACAAAAAAAAAAAAAAAAAAAAAATTTAACCATTCTGAAACCGGGGTTCCGAATCCAAATGCCTCTGGCCCCATGATTTCGGATAAGGGATTATCAACCTGTATTATAATTATTATTATTATTATATTTAGCCCCAGGCCCCTAATGTGGGTCATAGTGACTTCTGCCCGGTGGGCTGATCCCTGTATATACTGTATATAAAAAAAAAAAAAATTATTCTGAAAACCGAAAATTCCAAAGACCGAAATGCATCTGGTCCCAAGGATTTCGGATAAGGGATTGTCAACCTGTACTGAATTGGCAGACTAGCCCATCAGCTGATTAGCTGATGCTCACAACAAAACGTGTTTGTCGTAAGGATTTCCTTAATCGAAGTTTTGTTCGTTAACCGAATTGAAGATCCTTATGGAAGGTAATTCATTAACCAAAATTCCGTTAATCGAACCGTCACAACCGAGGGACCACTGTACTACAAAAAACAATGTTTTGTTTATTCTAGGAGATGGGCTGAGGTGCATCTGGGTAGACTCTCAGTCTTTTTAGTATTTTGTGTTTCTCTCAAGTACCAAACTAAATTATTCCATTGAAACAACACTTCGATTTAGTGCGAATTGGTTTAAAGCTTATTCTCTTGGGAACGATCTCGGTTACATCGGACGTTTCACTGTAGGAATAAACAAGCTATCCGGACTGATGCTGGATTTTCCAAACTTTTTTTTAATATTTTGGTGAATGGAGGGGCAGTCCAGAGCACCTCAGAGATTCTGAAAAGTAATTTCGATATAGTAAAGTCTGATTTATCGAGAATTTACTTTTCTATGGATGCCTGTACAGTACGAGGGTTATTCTTTGTGACTACAGTATGAATACCATATTTTTCAGATTCATTCCATTTTTAGATCCTAGTCACACATGTCAAGGTCCTGGGGCCTTGGGATTCAACCACTAAATTTGCTGTTATACTGTACAGAGATCCTTGACCCTGAAGTTCCTCCCCACTTCCACTGTTCTTTACCTTCTAGCTTCCTATCTACTTACTTCCTCCATACACATGTAAAGCAGTCTACTTACTACATTCAGGAGAAGTTCCATGCCACTGTCCCTCATGGCAGGTGAGTGTGTGAGCCACACTGGAGCCAAAATATTCCTGTAGCCAGCACGACATCGATATTCAACTGTAGTGCCGGGGACGACTCCCTGGGCACTTACAAAGCCACGCACGTTTCTGGACAGTGTGCATAACTTCCGGGGGTACGGGACACAGTTCTGAAACTAAAATGAATGTACAATTTCTGTGTTGCAATTAAATTAATTAAAATATATGAAATAGTTTACACTTTTAATGAATGTGACAGACAATAATCTACAGAGCTGTACTTAAGGGCCATGACAGTTCTCATATACCTATTACAGGTTGGGTATCACTTATCCGAAATTCCCAAGTCCAAAATGCTCTGAAATCTAAAAGTCTATTTCATTATATATATGGCAGATAATACACTCAATATGGCAAATATCATAATTTTTACTTGGGTAAGTATGTACAGTATGTGTAATGAATAAAGGTAAGTCAAATTGCTTAGTGCCTCTAAATCAGGTGTCATGGTGATGCCAAACGGACGATAGTGAATGCTTACCTTTCTGGGTCTTTAGTGTACTGTACATCTTAACATATATTTTATACCCAAAAATATTAAAGTATATTTCATAAAACTACCTGCAGAATACATGCCTCTATATACTGTAAATGAAATATAAAGGAATTTTGTGCATAGACTTGGGCCCCATCCCTGCTGGGTGAGCTACTCCATTATATGGTTGCTGTATACAGGATATAAGTATTCCAAAATCCAAAAATATCCCAAATCCGAGACCCTTAAGGCCCCAAGCATTAGATAAAGGATACCCAACCTGGGGCAAGACACTCAACAGCATTCACGGGACTATATCTCTTTGTTTACCCTGTAACTGGACTTGCAGTTCCCGATCGGTACACTCAAAACAAATATTTAGACTCCGTAAGTGAGCCCGTATTCGATGCCGTAACTTATAGGACCTCCTTAGGTGCTGTAACACAATCAACCCAGATATAGTAGTCGTTATTTCCCGATTGCATAAGCAAAAGTAATAATATATGTTGTAATAATGGTTGTTAAGACTTATTTTATCATAGAATAATGAAAATGTTTTGTACATCAACATTCTAAAATACGATATTACAGTTTGTGGTTTTAGTTTATTTTTTTTACAATAAGAAGAGGCTTGAGTGTTTCTATTTGTAGCAGAATGGAAGAGATGCAGCTTTTGTCTTCTTACAAACATTTCAAGTAATTTGTACCAAAATAGAAGATTTTAATTGTCCACATTTATGGTACAAATATTTTTTATGACAAGAGTAAATTTCCAATAATGAAAGCCAAATATGAGGTCAAGTGAACATTTTTGCCTAGGCTCCGCCTTTGCTGAGACCGAGTTATAACAAGTTATTCTGCCAGATATCCAAGAAGTACCTGTGACTCATAGATAAATAATACCTAACCCAATCTACAGGGGAGTAAGTTCATCAAACCTAATAAAAAAAAAGGGGGGGGGGGGATTAACAGTGGTATAGCATTTCTTTTTCTTAGAAAAATTATTAAGTCTATAGGTCTTCTTATCCGATACATTCAGAAGTGATTTTTTTCGCTGCAAAATTAGTAAAATGTATCTTACCCTAACAAAACCTAACCTTAACTAATCTTACCTTACCTTATCTAACCTAACCTAACATTACCCAACCTAACCTTGTATGTATATTATGTATTGTATGTATACTATATATGTACCCCATTTATATACATTACTTATCTACTCAGTAGCGTGGGTTCTTCATGTCACCACACGCTAGATAGTGCCCACGCGCCTGAGCTGCTAATGTACCACTTGCCACACGCCTGAGAGGTCAGAGATCAGTGGACCCATAGAGAGTGTAGGGACCACCGGGCGCTGGATTGGCGACCTCTGTACTCCCGCCAAATAGAACCTACAAAACTCTACAGGTGTTTGTGTTCGCCCTGTAGTTAGAACTGATTACCAGAACCCCTACATGGTGCAGTGATTTCATTGACGGAAGTATATGTCGCAGGTAAAGTCAAGACAGGTAGACCCCCGCTTCTGTCAACCGTCGTTTAAAGGATTCCTCCGTCAACCGTCGTTTAAAGGATTCCTCCACAACTGCTGTTTAAAGGATTCCTCTCCTCACAACTGCCGTTTAAAGGATTCTCCACAACCGCCGTTCAAAGGATTCTCCACAACTGCTGTTCAAAGGATTCCTCCGCCAACCGCCGTTTAAAGGATTCTCCGCCAACCGCCGTTCAGGATTCCGTCAACTGCCGTTTAAAGGATTCTCCACAACTGCCGTTTAAAGGATTCCCTCCGCTAACCGCCGTTCTAAAGGATTCCTCTCCGTCAACCGTCGTTCCAAGGATTCAACCGTCGTTCTAGGATTCTCCGTCCAACCGTCGTTTCTAAAGGATTCATAGCCTTGTTCAGGCATTTTGAGGAGCAGTGCCGTCAGCGCATCCTCTCTCGGTCGCGCTCTAGGGTAACTTGTATTACCACTACCCTCCACACACCACCGCGCACACATACACACAATCACGAACACAGACTGCAGTCATTCCTTTATATATATTTTATATATATGATTTACTTATCTGTGTATTCAATTAATTTTTTTGTCTCGGATCTTGTTGATACGACGGGCTAACCGGTCAACACTGATTTGAGATACAATATACAGATTGAGAAATTATGTCCCGGGCCTTACGCAGCGGTGTTCCTAACGCCCGGATGACTCAGACGGATGACAGCTCTACAGAGATGGATGACCAGCAGAGCGCGACGCTCCACCCTCTACCACCACATCTCGAGGTCCTTCACCTCTATATTCACCTTTGTCTCCAGAGGTAATGGCTTTAATGAAGTTTATGAGGGAGGAAAGGCGTGAAGACGAAGCGAGAAGATGTGTTGAGGACGAAGAAAGGAGACAAGCCGAGGCAAACAGAGACCACCAAAGGAGATTGGAAGATAGTGAACGGTTTTCACCTTTGATATCTAGCCTCACTGCTAACCAAGCCTCTGGCTCTCCCACCGCTTCAGTATCAACTGGCTCAGATACCTCGTCAACGCCTTCTGTACGCCCCCCAGCCCCACCCAAAGCGGCTGCCCAACCCCCACCCATCTTGAAGTCTGATGTGACTTTCCAGATTTTTCGTGAGTGGCGGCGACAGTGGATTGATTATGCTACAATGGTGGATCTCCAGAGCTTGCCACAGCCTAAACAACTCATTCATCTACGTATGTGCCTGTCTTTGGAAAACGCAGCGTGTGTTGGAACATATGTTGCAAGTGCCCCCTACTTCTTCGTTGTCTGTAGAGGAGGTACTGGATGTTCTAGAACGGCACATCAAAGGTCAGCGGAATGAAGCTCTACGCAGGTGGGAATTGTTTAGCTGTAGACAGATGGAGGGCGAGACTTTTGACGCCTTCTATGTACGACTCAAGAGAGCCTTGGAAAAGGTAGACATATGTCCCGGTAATCACCAGCAGTGTGAGGAGACCCAGTTGAAGAAGGTGATCCCGATGGGTGTTAAGGATGAGGAGCTTGTCCAACGCCTCACCTCCCTCGACTCTTCCTCTTCCCTTAAGGATGTGTTGAATATATGTCGCTCCTATGAGGCTGCCAGGTGTGCCACCTCTGCCATCCGAGCTCCCCCTACAGCTGTACAGGCTATGTCCTAATACAAGAAGGACAAGAAGTCTACCCCAATGCCTACGCCCACCACGCCCACGCCCGGCTCCCTTTGCAACAGCTGTGGTAGGCAGCACGGAACACAGGTGTGTCCAGCTGCTGAGTCTACCTACAACAGTTGTGACCGCAAGGGCCACTGGTCACTTACAGCACGGTGCCCAGCCAAACGCGTCCAGTGCAATGTGTGTGGTCGTCTGGGCCACTACGACAAGTGTTGCCCGACCAACAAACCCAAAGGGCAGCGTCGGCGGAAGCAGCAGCGCCCTTCCACCAGAGAGGGCCGCCCACAGTCGTCAAATCAGAAGCATGACGACCCTGGACAACACCCGACCCATATTAGGAAGGTGTACTCCTCCTCGCGTCCCAGGACCAAAGTTCCCCACCACATCAGCGTCATCATGACCTACAGCAGTGTGTCATCCTGTCTCGAGATGCTGCCCGACACCGGCGCTGAGGCTACAGTCATCGGTCCCCAGCATTTGCAATGCTTGGGGCTCTCTTCAGGTGATCTAGGCCCACCTCCCAAGGATCTCCGCTTCACGGCAGACGGTTCACAGATGGCCCCAGCCCTAGGTTCACTCTATGCACAGCCCTAGGTTCACTCTATGCACATGTCACCTTTGGCAACAGGTCATGTCAAGCCTGCATTAATGTACATAATGGTGTCCTGACTCCTTTGCTGTCCTACAGGACTTCCCAAAACCGATTCTCGAGGTAAAATACGCCAACAGGGTGCACGAAGGGAGCAGCAACTACCCTGCTGCCGCCCTACCCCTACCTCTGGCCAGTGACACCTCTCCTTCGGTAGTTGTCCCTGCTGCTTCACGTCCCCATGCCTTGGCTCGCCTCCACGACAGTCACCGTGGAGCCGAGGCCACCAAACTGTGTTCCGGCCTGGCATCGACCCCGACATCTCCAATGCTGTCCATGCGTGTAAGCCCTGCCAAGTACTACAACCCAGCCAGCAGCAGGAATCCCTCATGAGTGACGACAACCCCACCCGCCCCTTTGAGTCTGTGTCGCCCGACTCCTTCTGTGTGTCAGGAGAGTCCTTCCTGGTTATCGTCGACCGTCTCTCTGGTTGGCCGGTTGTCATCAAGTGCGGTAAGGATACGACGTCTGCCGCCACCATCAGCAAGTTCTGCCACTACTTCCGTTACGTGGGCGTTCCTGTGCGCCTGCGAACCAACAGTGGGCCCCAGCTCACAAGCCGGGACTTTGCTGCGTTCTTCGACTGATGGGGAGTCCGGCATGTGTTGTCACTGCCCCATTACCCGCAGTCCAACGGCCACGCTGAGGCTACTGTCAAATCCCTGAAGCACCTCATCCTCAAAGTGGCCCCTTCTGGGAATATTGACTGCGAGGCCTTCGACCGGGGTCTTCTTGAACTCCGCAACACACCTAACTACACCGGACGCTCCCCTGCCCAGGTCTTGTATGGACGCCCCCTCCGTTCTTGTGTCCCTGCTCACCCTCAGTC